GAAGCATTGCCTTCAGTTGGCCCTGTGTTTCGAATACCCATTTTTAAGAAATAAAGAAATTGTTTATTCAGCTGAAGCCATACTTCAATTTCTGGGGGGGGGGGGGCAAGAAGCACTACCAGTGCAAGTTTATGTTCAGCAGAATTGAAGAAACAGTAAAGCATTCAAAAACAAAGCAACTGAAGAAAAGAACATCAAATTAATAATTCATGCTCAGAAATTGAGCTACAAGTTCAAATAAGTTAAAAAACTATATCGGCAGCCGCCCACAAGCGGAAAATAACAGTTGCCGAAATACGTACAGAAGCAAAAAAATAAACTGTTTTGTACGACAAGGCAAGCTGAAGCAAAAAACAAACAAGGCAAAAATTCAGAAAGCGGCAAGTCTAAAGTTGAGCGCATGATGAACCGCAAGATTCTGAAGACGACTGCCCGAGTTCCTATGCTTCAGCCCGAGGATCAGACTGGTCAGCATTGTTGGGCCCCATGGTGGTCTCAACCCCAGCAGCAGAAGAAGCAAGCTTTGCACTCTGCCGAGCCTCCCTTTCCCTCTGTTCAGCCTCCAACTCCATTCTCTCAGCTTCTTCTTCGGCTTCCTCAGCCTTAAGGATTTCAGCTTCGACTGGAGTTGCATACTTCATATGAGGGTCTTCGGGATCCTGGACCCATTCAGCACATTTGGACCAGTCCAACTTCGGCTCAGCATGAAGGCAGACTCTTCGGCACACTCTGAACCCGTTTCTGAAACCCATTTCATATTCTTCCTGGGTATAGACACGGACTTTGAGTAGAGCCTCAGCATCAGCCAACTTCTTCTTTGTCTCCTCCAAGTCTTCCTTGGATTTCTTCAGCTCATCGGCGAGCTTGGAGGAGGAACCTTTCAGCTCATTTAGCTCCTGTTGAACTTGGGAAGCCTCTGTCTGAGCCTGGGCCACTTCTTCCTTTTCGGGCATCAACTGATCCTCAGCTTCTTGGAGCTTAACTCTCTGAGCTTCAGCAGCAGCAGCATCCTCTGAGAGTTGGACATCCCTGGCTTGGAGCATCACTTCAGCAGCCATTCTGCTGGCTTCAAGAGCTTCTAGCTGTTGCTGCACTTCAGCTTGTGCAGAAGCTCCTTCCTGGATTCGGCTCTCAATGGTAGCCTTGAATTTGGAGATGTCCACTCCCATGTGCTCTTGGAGGAATTTTTCCCCTTCCATCAGTGGGGGAAAAACTTCCTTCTCCATAGCATCGCAGAAGGTTTTGAGGGCTTCAGCAGCTTTTTTCTCATATTCTTCACCCTTCTGCTGCTTCTCTTCAGCTGCTGCTTGCTTCATCTTAGCAAGCTTTAACTCCTCTTCGGCTACCTTTTTGTCGTGCTCGGCAGCGTCTACCCTATCTTGTAGGGTATCTATCAGCTCTACAGTGAGAGTCTGATTGTGCACGAACTGAAAACAGGAGCACAAGTTAAAATAAAAAATAATAGTAATAATGATAATTAAAGAGCAGAATTTTAAAGGAGATAAAGGCAAGGAAAATCACCTGCATCATCAGCAGTTGGTTAGACCTGGCTGGGTCAGGAACTGATCTGCTGGATTCGCACATCCCAGCAGTGGCCTTCAGCGACCAGATTCTTGCCCTATCTACTTCGGACATGCCAACAAAATCGCCGAAGTAGGCTGCAACACCTTCTCGGTTCTGACCCCATATGAGGTCCCAGATGTGATCTGGGATTGGAATTCGGGGGGCCGAGAAACCCATCTCTCCAGATTGCAGAGTTTGGAAGGAAGGAAAGGATGACGATGGAACTTCTTTAACTTTGGATGGCTCAGCATCCTCCTTCTCAGAAGAGTCAATTATTATGACTTCTTCTTCTTCAGGGGTGAGGACGAAGGCCTCAACCTCTCTTGCAATGTCTGCCGTGAAACCCTCAGCACTGGGCATCACGGCATCCTCATTCTTGTGCTCAGCAGCACTCTCTTGAACTTCTTCTTGGACCCCTCCCTTAGGTTCGGGAGTTTTCTGATCCACCTCCATCTCGGGAGGTGGCGGAGGGGTCTTTGGAGGTGATTGAGGTGGTGGCCGGGGAACCCTCGGCGATCCATTGCCTTCCTCGGGTTCCCTTATTTCGACGCCGATGGTCATCGGCCTCCGCTGAAAGTCATGGGGGCCGATGATGGCCATTCTTCAGCGCCTTTTCTGAAGCGGCTGCTCGTCCATGTCTGAGTCTGAGGACTCTTCTTGTATCTGGTCTTCGGGACGAACAGGGGTTTTCCCTTCTCTGTGTCTATTACTCTCTTCAGACTGTAAAAGACAGGGGGGGGAGGAAGAATGTGAGTAAAAAAAAAAAAAAAAAAAAAAAAAAAAAAAACAACAAAACAACAAACAGAAACAGACAAAATTAAGTCTGAAAGCTCACCGAGGTCTTCAGCAAAGCCTCGTCTTCTTCAGCTGCCCTAGCTGCAGCTTCTTCTTCAGCAGCCCTGGAGGACCCTTCTCTTCCTTCACAAGCTTCAATAACCCGTGCAACCTCTTCGGCCGTACGAGCAGCTTCAGCTTCTTCGTCCAGCAGCTGAAACCAGGGATCTCTCTTCTTCCACCAAGGCTTCCGCCTCTGATACAGAGCAACAACCTGAATTTGGAAGTGGAAGAGTCTAGATGAACTTCTCTATGCCTCGGTTCAGTGATAGAGGGGGCCCGATCAGTTACAACTCGTTCTCGGTTGACGCCAAGACGAGCGTAGTTAATGCCGACGTTGGTCTCGTCCCGCTCTGAAAAAGAAAAGGGTAAAGGTCAGTTCAGTTAGGTTGGCACAACATAAAAAAGCGAAGTGAAAGAGGAGAAAAATAGATAATTAAAAGGCCTCGGCCCCAGCCGAAGAAGCTTACCATCCTTAAACTTTCGGCTGAGGCCGACAGCTGCTAGCATGTTCTCTTGGAAAACATAATGCGTATCGGGGAGCCAAGTCTCCGGGATATGCTGCATTCGGCCGCTGCCCCCCCGGTTCGGCAGCTTGTCGAAGATATTCTGTTGATTAAGGTTCGGATCTGGGCCGTTATCTGCGGGGGGACCTAAACTTCCCATGTCGGGATCAGGCTCAGCAAGGTACCCGGGAGCGCTGAAGACGCAAGGGTGGCCCGGGTCCGTGGGTGCCCTAACCCAAATCCATTGACCTCTCCAGTCCTTGTCTGAAGAGTCGTTCAGCCACATGGTTAGGTACTGGGGCCGAGACTCAATCCGGTACCACCCAGAACCATGACTTCCGAGCCCACTTTGAATATTTGGCACTAGCCGATGAAGCTTTTTGAAGCAGTGCAGGTTCGACACATACCTGAAGAACTTGCAGACCCATAAGTATGTCATCACCCTTCGGATGCTAATAGGAGTTAGCTGACATAGGGAAATATTGTAATGGATCAGCAAGTATCGGACGAATACGTCCAAAGGGAACCTCAGCCCATACTGAAGTTGTCTTGTGTACACCCCCACATACCCCGGGGGTGGACGATGGATTCTATCGGATGCCACGGGCATTCGGCACCAATACCCATCAGCTTCAAGGATGCCGTAATGCAACTCAATTTGTTCGACAAACCGATACTGTTCGGCATTCTCCACCCACCATGAGTAGGGGCGGTTCTTTATCATGGTCGAAGCTACTTCGGCATCCTCCCACTCTGAAAACCCGGGAAGGATATCCCAAAGGACAGCGGGAACTTCATCGTCCCGCCCAGAAGCGCTCGGCCCCTCCGTTCTCTGAGGAGGAGCCGAGGAAATTGGAGTCGCCCTAATCCCTTCAGCAGGGTCAGACTCTGCTCTTTGTCCATTCCAGGTTCCAATCCTGTTCCTGGGATCGGGAATTGGCCTTGCTCTTCTTGGAGCACGGGCTCTACCCCTAACTCCTCTCGCCATTGATAATTTCGAAGAAAAAAGTCGAAAAAGGGGAAGGAGTTCAAATTCGAAGAAAAATAAACTAAAATCAAAGGAATTTACCTTAATCTGAAGCGAAAGTTGCCGATTTACGAATTGGTAGTGGCGAGTCTCAGTTTCTAAGCTTAATGCTCGGGGAATTTGCGAAGTTTTGATGCGGGTTCTTGGGTTCTCTCGAGAATTCTGGGTTTGTGTTGGTGAATAAGTGAGGAGAGATGACGCGCCTCTAATTATATCTCCAGAAATGGGAATACGAGGAGTCCGCGTTTCAATTTCTCTTAAATACCCCACTAAGTAACCGTTAAACACACGACTTTGCGATTAAACTGCCCATTATCCGTCCAACTTCCACAATTATCCGCCTTAACTGTTGTTATCTCATTAATTACGGTTTAATTACGGTTTAAATTCAAATTTTTGGATTAATTAAATCATTCACTTCCCTCCTTTTCTGATTAAATCAAACCCGACCCGTCATCCTTCCAAATCGGGTCTGGGGGGCAAGTTGTTTGGGTCCAATTTAGTCCAATTGGACCTAGGCATTAAATGATCCAATTAAAAGCCCAAGGTCAAGGTTCATCTCTCCAATTGTGCTAAAGTCAAAGATCAGTCCTCAATGCAAGCCAATTGGGCTAAGGCCCAACTTCTCCATATATGCAAAGGTATAAAAGCCATCAATATTACATTTGTACATTCATTCAAGAAAAGCCTCAAGCAATTAATTCTCTTGCATAGTGTTCTCTTTCTACACACTGTAATGAGTTTAGCATCGGAGGGGCCTTCCTCGGCAACACCCCCGAGGCTAGTTTACGTGTGTTTACTGTGCAGGAAACCTTCGGCCCAACATCAATTGGACCGAATCCAGTCTTCTCTACTTCATCGGACCTTCGACAAGGTCCCATTGTTTTCACCCAAAACATGTATTATTTTATTTCTATAATACTCGTATGAAGTGTCAAAATTCAATCGTTGAAAATTGGCAAAGCCTAGAATGGCCGCCATGACTTGCGCATATTGCTACGTAATAATATTAGAACTTGCACGTAATTGCTACCTATTAAAATTACGAAATTGCTACCTATAAATACATACAACCATCCCTCTCCTTTTACATCACAACATATATAAACATTTAAATTATTTATACACTATATTATCGAGAAATACAACAATGGAGACTAAGAATACTAAAGTTTCTGCTCTTCTATTGGTTTTTGGTAAGTTCATTGTTATATTCTTGCTTAATATTAACATAATTAACTACGCCCACCTCATACCATGTGGTACGTGTTCCTTAATATTTCTGGTATCTAGCTAGTATAGTATGTACGACGTATGTAATTTTGATAGCTAGGAGTATTTCTCATGACTCGTGATTAGGGTCTCCTAATGTTTTATCGTTTTCTTATTTGCAGGGCTAATATTGATGCTAGGAGTCGGAAACATGAAAAAGGTGGATGCTCAAAGTGATGATGATGAGAAAATATGTCCTCAGTTTTGCTATGATAATTTGGATTATATGACTTGCCCTTCAACAGGAGATCAAAAGCTTACTCCTTCTTGTAATTGTTGCTTGGCACCAACTGATGGTTGCGTCCTTTACTTTAACAATGGAGATGCACCCATTGTTTGCTAACTAAGCTCAGCTTGGCCTTGAATAATGAAATAATCATATGGATTATCAAGTCTTAATTGCTTTTATTATTTTGTAATAATTATAATTATAATAATGATCATAGCTAAAATGATCGAAGTTATGTACGTTCGTTCATGCATTGTACTTGTTTCCTTATTACATCGTAATGCTTGTATGCTAACCGTATTGTTGTACGGCTTGTACCATTAATGAATAAGTAATTATTTGAAAAATACTACTAGTATAATTTTAACTATTCTAGATTTTGAATCCTAAGAAGAACAAGTAGGAGACTAGCCTTTAAATAATACGAGTATGGAGTATAGTTTAGGCATGTTAAGCAATGATAAATTGATAACTAATTACTAATACTTCGTATATCTCAAAAGTACCCTTAATAAAATATTTGGGAACAGTAATATGACTAATATCTTATAACGAGTCCGTTTTATTCTATTCCATGAATCGTACTCCGAGTTTTCCATTAAAGTGGCTTCTGAGCTTTTTCTCCTCCATTGAACCACTTTCCCAGGTAATTTTTTTATTTTTATAATAAATCGTCGAATATCAAAATCATAATCTTGTACGGAGTGGAGTACTATTTTTCAATTTTAATTTTCAGTAATCAGTATAGTCAATATAGGGTTCCCCAATGTGAATAATTGAACTATTGAGTATAATTACTCAACAAATAAAGATTATAACGAGGAATTTCGTTGCTTGAATTTGACACAAATATAAGCCGTGAAGAATTTAGAGCGATTTTTTTTATTGAGTCAAAATCTGGTTGGTATGTGTTGCAAAATTTTGGCATTACCTTTTCAATATAATTTTACTACTAGCACTTATTTAATTCTCTTAATACCCCTTGCAGATTATTATCCATAAGGGTCGAGATTTTGGGAACAGAGTACATAAATTGAAATATCATAATTTCCAAACAACAATGAATTCGGAATTGAATGTCATCTTTTACAGCATAATAAAGCATAATCGAAGTCATGCATGTTGTAACATAGTAACATTTAGCAAACTCTGAAATTCCTCAAACTAAGACTCAATAGTAATTCATGTTTGGTACAACTCGATTGAACTTCCTTGCTACCACTACTCCAGTTTTTACCTTTATCAAACATATTTCAAAAAGAATGGAGTAGAAGTTTAGAACATACTTAAATGAACAAAGAAAATTGTATACTATGTGTTCAAGGCTAATAACTCAAATAAGATACGTGGAATTAAGTGACGGGAACATTATATTATGTTGCTTTTAATTTTTTTTAGTTTTTCTTGATTGTGTAATGATATTTCATAAAAACTAACTTCCGAGCTTGTGTCTAAACATCGTGTTCCGGCTATTAATGTAACATATTATAAAGTTATGTATTTATGAAATTCTCATTTTTAAATTTGAATATCTTTTGTAGAAGTCGTACCAATTTTTATTAATAGATATTGATTTTTACTAGGTAATAATTCTCTTTTCAAGTGACGCATAAGTTACTTTATCACTTATTTTATCATGCGGCAAAGGGGGCAAGTATTATTATTACTTGGCAGAATCACTTGGCCAATTGTTGGTTATATGTCAGGGGATTCAATATGGATTTAAGCCTAATTGCATATACTATATCAATAATTGGGGAGGAATTGAGAGCAGGGGAGTTGGACCTCATGGCATAGATCATTGTGTTTATAATTTAACAAAGAGGGTGTTTGAGACTGATTTTCACAGTGGGTTTTTAACCAATTTTGGGAAGTTCACACCGTTTACGTGGGTTAAGCCTCCTATGTATTACTTCAATTAGTCGCACTATCTAAAAAAATTTAACATTTTAATACTTTTAAAGTCGTTATTGAGATGAATTAAACAAAATCATATGATTATGTATGTTTATCATATTTCAATAGTTTACCATTCACAAGAAGCGACATCAAATAAACAATCCATACAACTTTTATCATGCCTTTTTTTTTTTTTCTTCTCATGTTTTGAGCTTTATTGTTTGTTATTGATTAGGAAATGAAAGTAATGTACAACTATATACATTGATACAGTAATTAGTAGTAGCAATTGAAACAAAGAGAAATATTTAGCATTATGCAAAACATTTAATTAGCAAGAATGATAAGTAGCAGGCATCCCTCCTTCGAATCCCATCCACTCATCCCATTCATCATAATCACCACAGTCTTGCATTGTCTGCATCTGTTCTTCCTCTTCAAACTTTCTCATCAATGTCTGTATAATTAAGAAAAGATTTATAAGCGAAAATGGCTTTATTTAAATTAAATGCTTATCTCATTCGACAATTATATTTAGTGTAATTAAGCTAGCTAACTAATTAAGACATTAGCGCTACATTCAAATAGATTGAGTTCGAAGATTAACATACAAGTGTTTGTAGACACTCGTTAGAATGACCATAATAAAATTATATGGAAAAAAATTAAGTGCAATAAAAGGGTTTTTTTATTATTTTTTAAAATATAAATTATTCTTTTGTTGCACGTAATATAAACGGAGGTATATAAAATCAAGAGATAAGTTCTATATATATTCACTCTATAAATATTAAATAGACAGCCCAAAAATACAAAGCAACAAAAGAAGAAATCACAATACAATTCGGGTTTTGGACCAATAAAAGTTTAATCAGAAGATGAATGGGGCCAAAAATGGGGCCCATTAAAGTTGATAGAGATGTAGAAGGTATAATCATTCAAGTTGGCGTTTACTTATCAAAATCTCATAAGATAAGGTCATACCTCATACTACCTTTTTTTTATGTGATAGTTTAGTCTTTTAGATGTCACTTTTCGTATACAAATAGCACAGTTTTTTGCATAAATTTATTATCTTTATGATCATAAATCATGTATGGTTTTCATTAATTAAATTATTCAATATATCACAATTCAAATTAAATATATAATACATTCTCTGGTGTTTTATACTTAAAACAACAAAGTAATAGAGAGATATAATAAAAATGATTATGTTATTATACAAAATACTTTATAATTTATACAAATTAATACGTAGTATAGTTTAAATTATCAATAGATAATTCAATGTGATAAGTGGTTATGGATAAGATGACATGTGTATAATTAAATTTTATTCCAGTATATTCATGAAATGCATTAATGTTTCGTCGGATTTTTTTTTTTTTTTTAAAACAAATATTTCGTCGGATTAATTGACTTGTTTCACTTAATTTGATCAAACATCTCATTAATACAGTTTGGAATTTTCAATTAATATAAAAGGCCTAATTGTAACAAAATAAGTTAAAATGCAAGCAACGAAACAACAATACTTGTCAAAATAGTTTAGTTTTATTTTGATTTCTGGAGGGAGCATAAAAATTAATGTGAGTACGACATTATTGTTGCTTCTCTAATATAAATGGAAGAGAAATAATCAAATAAGTATACGAAAGTCATTACTACTCTCAAAAATGGCATCCACACAAATGTGATAACTAATAAGCATATATTACCTGAATAGAAAGAAGTGGGACACTTAATTGTTCTTTTTAGCCTTTTAGGTATCTATAAATATACGTCAATGTTAAAACCACACACTTGACCCCCACATCTAGACCCTTTCTTTTACCCAAATGACTATTATTATTTAATGAAATCACCCCTCCTATTTCAATTTTTAATTTTTTTTTTATTTTTTTTATTTTTAAATAGCCACTTTATTCTTCAATACAAGTGCTTCTTTTTTTTTTTCCCCTTAGAAATATTATCACTTATTCACTTACCTTATGAATGTTATGAATCTATGATATAGAATATGCTTTGAACATGCTATAAATTAGTTTCATTGATTATTTACCATATTAGAAATGAAGTAATTGATTAAAGAGAAACGGTGTTAGGTGTACTTCAATATCAACCTACTCTGAGTATTCTCAATTTAATAAATATCTCATCAACATATTTCCCATACTCCAATTTTGCAATATTGGTTAAAATTTCAATTTACTACGTAATATTTTCTATCCAATCTCTATCAAAATATTACAATAAAACAATTACAGATTTTATAATGTATTTCTATGCATCGTGGATCTCGTGGTGTTCAATGTAACGTTGCACCATGTGTACATTTAACTTTATTTATTTATATTTTTTTTTGAGGAAATGTACATTTAACATATTAATTCACTTTGCTATGTTGAAACCCACCCAAAAATACAAATAGTCAAATGTGCAACAAACTTTTTTTTTATAAATTTTTATTATTAATTTTTTTAACCAGAGCAAACAAACTAAATTGGTACCCTACACTCAAAAAAAAAAAAAAAAGTCCACTATACGTTACCGTGTACTAAACAATGATTGATTGATTGGCCATTCTGAAATTAAAGGTGACCTTCTTGTAATAAATTATAATGGACCTTTTTCCATCAAAAGCAATGGTAACCTTTGCTTTTTTATTTTATTTATTTATTAATTAATGGCTATAATAAATTTGTACCTAAAACAAATTAATTGATATACAAACACAACACCATTCAATTTATCATTTTTTTAGCAAACACAATCTTATTATCCACAATCATATTCATTCAAGTTTACCCAAATGAATAATTACAAATATAATAAATCAACTAAGAAAATTATTGAGGAAAAAAAAAAACAGAAGATGTATAAATCGTAATAATATTAATAAACTAATACCTCATATGCAGATTTAATGTCTCGAAACATTTTATTCTTTTCAGCAATATGATCTCCTTTGACTACATCTGGATGATACTGCAAAAACAACAACAATAATCACCACCATTTTCAAAGAAAGAACCAACAAAATGAAACATTAAAAAACAGAGGAAAAACAGGGGATTCTTAAAAATCAAACCTTTAAAGCCAATCTTTTGTAAGCAAACTTAACATCAGTCTTGGAAGCAAAAGGAGATAAACCCAAAACAGCATAATCATTAAAGTCCGATAAACACTTCACCGGAAAATTAATCATACGACGAGAAGATGGTGGCGACGACGACGACGACAAGAAGCCTACTCTTTGTATTCCCTTCAATCCTCCATTACCATGTCTCATCATCCTTAAGGTCTAGGAAACTATAGTTTTTGTGTTTTTTTTGTTGGTGTTGTATTTTTTTTGTGTGTTATGTCTTGGTTGTGATTTGGAAAGTGTAGATTATTTATAATATGCTTTCCGAAAATGGGTGAATTGGATAAATAGAATGGGCTATCTTATTGTAATTTAGTGGGTAGAGGATAAGAATTTCAAAGTGGGCCGCTTCTTCTTGGCAAAAGAAAGACCTCTTGTTTTTATTTTTGCATTCAAAAAGGGTAGATATATGAGATGCCCCCAAAGAATGTATGATTAATATCCCTTCTTTTACAATTTGACAAAAGAAAAAGAATCCTTTTGTACAAACTACAAAAATTTCCCATCAATCAATGTAAGATATACAGCCATACGGAATTACGGAGTATATAAGGTCTACTCGTTTGGATATTTTATGTACAGTTTAATTACAATTTACTAGTATTGAGGGTGTTATTTAAAATCTGATATCGAATTTCGTCTTCATCATTTGTTTTAGATTGTCCAAAACCAAAACATAAACATTGTATTCCAATTATTTTAGTTAATAAAAATAGGATTAATTCGAGTAGGATATTTAAAGTTGATATTTATATGTGATTATAAGCTGCTAGTTGGTGGGGAAGAGGATAGGTTCAATTCTTTGAATAGGCCATTTTGATTGAAGGTCAAGAAGGGGACAATATGAAAGAGACACTATAACTAATCAAATACACGACTTTAAGGAATCTAATATTAGAAAATTGACTAAATCATTCAAAATAATAATGTTTAGGTGAATTGCCTTGCAAACTACTAACCTTCAAAGCTTCAATTATGTGAATTTATTAAGGATTCTTGAATCATTTTATGCAAGATATTATTTGCACTGATTTATGGATAAGAAATTAGTGTATTATCACTTTTAGCCTTACTTAAATATTTGTTCACCTTATTTTTCAATCATTTTTTATTCTTGTGTTTCTCTTTCTCAAAATATTAGTAAATAGATACTTACTAAGGGTCTATTCTGATTGACCGAACTGAACTGAGCTGAGCTAAATTGAATTGAATAGAACTTATTGGAGCTGAACTGAACTGAACTGGGAGAAAGAAATTAAGAACTGAACTAAACTTATTGGAGCTGAACTAAATTGAATTGAACTGGATATTTTATGAAAGAGGGAAATTAAGAACTAGACTAAACTGAACTGAACTTATTAGAGCTGAACTGAACTAAAAATATTTTGAAGAGGACAGACCCTAAACCAATCATAAGACCATTCTAATGAGTTGTTAATTAATTGTAGCATAGGTATTCAAAACTTAATTTTAGATTACATTGAATCAGTTTATGATGATATAAGTAAGATCAAGCGAATCAGTATTTATATTACTTCGTATTATATATAGCCACTTTTCTAATATGAATACAGAGAAGTTGGTCAAGTAATTAGATAACATGAAAGAAAATGATATAATATGATCATTTGAGCATTTAGTTTAGTACATGTGTGCTTGTGTGTTCACTCGAGCTTATGTACATGCTTAGAAGCAAGATAAAGGTTATATAGATGGAATAAGCTATCTCTCCCCTCTTTGTTCCGGCGTAAGACCTCCTTTACCACATTGAGGGCAGCTCTTTAATCCAAATCCCTGACATTCAAAACACCTACAAAATGCAAAAACAAAAAAACTATTAATTAATTAATTAATACACTCCAACTAATAGTAATTACTAATTAGTGGGAGTGATCCGCCCACAGTAATACTAGTAATATAATCACCGACATTAATTAAAATTTAAAAATGAGATTAATGATTAACTCACTTCCATCGCTCAAAAATGTTACCGTTCTTTTTGTTCCTTCCGGTCCCCTGAGTAATAAACAAGATCAACATATAATAATTATAACTAATTAATTATAACAAGAGGAATCTTTATATTATAAAATAACTACGTACTAAACTAATGTCTTCCAAATTCCTACTATTTTGAATTATTATGTTCTCACTTGTAAATTGTAATAGCTTAAGTGTGAAGGCTTCCAATGCCCCTAGACGAAGTGGTTGTACGTGTAAGGGATTCTAATCCCCATATTATTAAGTAATTAGTTCTTAATTTGTTTGATTATTGTACTATGTAAAACTCTATATTTTGCCAATGCCACAAAAATATACTCGTCTGTACTTCATATGTGATTGCCTTATGTACTTTATATGTTCAAATTCACTTCATCATGATTGATTATTTGGCATACTTGGAGTTAGGAGGTGATACGTACATAGAGTGTAATTGTATTAATTAAAAAGTTTAATTTTGGTATATTTAGGTATAATTATGTACATGCTTAACAAGTATAAAAAAAGTCATCTCAAAATGAATTTGTTAATTATATCTCAAATTGAGAAGTTAATTTTTAATGTCCGATAATAATTTGTGGTGAAATATCATACATATTGAAATAGAGTGAAGTGATTTTACCTTATTAAGGACTTACTCACTAGCAAAATAAAGGTATTGATTGTACAAATACAACTAATAAAGAATAATAGTTACGGTGTTTTATAAAGTTTAATAGATAAGTATACCTTGCATCCAGGACACTCTATGGCACCTTGGCCTCGACATGCCTCACACTTCTTAAATATATGCATATAGCTAATCGATCAATAATCATCCCTTATCATATATAATAGTATTCCCTCCGTCTCTAAATGATGTTTCTCGGAATGAGTATAGTAATATAGTATGTAAATACTTACCGAAGAGAAAGCACCGGATTTAGCAGCACAAGGTGTGAATCTGCTATGTTGTATAATCGGACCAACTACATATGATTCTTTGAAGACTGGTTTGATATGATGGAATAGTTCATTATGATGATTGTGTTGAGAAGGCAAGCTTGTGAGAGAGCAAGAAAAGTGTGGCAACAACATTATCATCTCATATGTTTCTTGTGCACTACCACCACCACTAGTTAAATGGATATCCAAATCTTGGTATCACTACACGTGGACCCAAATTATTTAAGAGAAAAAAAAAGGATGATAGACCTTTGTAAATAAAATTATAAAATTGTTAATCAAATAAGATTAATGATGAAATTGTTGATTAATTGATTTTTTTTTCTCATGCATATTTAAGTTGATTGTAGCTTTGATCAATTTATGTTGTAACTTTGAATGTTGGTGACTAGGAGCATTGGATGTCATAAAATTCATACAAAATATATTTCATGTATTTGTTCAATATGGCATGTACTTGTTCAATATGGAGCTCTAAATTATACATAGGAGAATAGTTTACAGTTTACACTTATTTAATTTGTCGTGTCAATGTCATTAAGACTATTATTGACTATTCGATCTTACAAATTACTGCAGTTCATATCATCCATCAATCACATTACCTTGTAATTTCATTTATTGGACAAATATGCATATCATTACAGAATATGAAATATATGGGTTAAGTCTATGTTGTATTATAACTAAATTTAGTACAATAATGACTCACTTGCTCACTCTGAGTTAATTTTTTTCCTTTCTTTGTCACGCTCGAAGACATGTCAATGACACAATTTCTACTAGAAATGTATAATTTGATCTAAAATGTATGAGATTAACCTGCAAAATACATCAAGATTATATATAATGTGCAATGATATAACTCAACTATGTACTATCATACATAGTAAAAACTGATCTACTACCTCTATTACATGTTATTTGCAACGATTTGACATAAAGTATAGAAGAAAAATGTCTAACCGTTGCAAATAATATATAACGGAGGTAGTATTTATTTTTTCAATATACGAAAGATTTATTTACTAGTGTATCGTTTGCATATTCAATCAATTCGACTATCCATAATTTTGGATTGATGGATATACAACTTTAATTTTGGATGGAGAATGAATTGGGTTATTTATTTCCCCTTTTACACCCACCTAAAAAAACCTACCATTACAAATTTACAACAAACACAAAAAAAAAGTAAAGAACTTACCGTTTTGAAAAACAAATAAAACTTTAAAGAAAAATGAAATGAAATGAAATCCTGGTTGATTAATGGCAAGCTTGATGATTCTACCAACAATAGTGAACCCAGTTCCTACTAATTCATCATTGCTCAATTTGATTTGATTGCTGATTTTCTCTCTCTTCATTTGCTTCAATTTGTTGTTTCTGATTTGATCATCGAATTTCTCTTCCGCCAGACGATCTCTCCGTCATTGTACAGGGTCAGTTTGTTTGTAATTCTGAAATCAAAATTGGTGGTGCAATCGCAATTTTATGTTTTAATTGTTGATCATTTTGTTTAATTTGCCTGTTACTTTAATTTTATAATTCAGTTGTTGTTGATTTCTGGGAATTATTGGGTTAATAGATGAGAATTGTTGGTCAATTTGGGCTAAGATGAGTGACTTTTGTAGGATTAGGGTTTTAATGTTGCATTGTTTATGGAGTAATTCGAAAATTAGGTTTTCCTCGACATGACAATTATACAATTTGGGGATTAAAATTCAGCTCTTTGCTATAGATTTGTCAGCAATTTGAAGAAAACATAGATAAACGTTGTTATTCTGGTTTTTGTTATGTTAATGCACATGCTACTTTTATTCTACTAGGTTCGAAGATTGTTTTGGAATGTGAATTTTATTTTTTGTGGGATTGCTTCTGTTTTATCTCAATTCGTAAGTCAATTATTGGTGTGGCACTGTGGCTATTGGGGCTAGCTTAAGCTTAGAGATTTCACAATATTTTGAGATTTTGATATCGGTGGAGCGGAGCTTGATATCGAGCCTGGTTTGAGGTTACACTCCTAATGTCACTATAACAATGATGAGAGTTAGAAGGGAGGGGAGATTATCATGCACTTTATTTTTGTAATTGTTAGTTATCTAGAGAATTTGTTTCCTTACGAACATTATCATGTATAGATAGAAGAATTTATCTATTACTACAGTATTATTTTTGATGTATAGTAACAGTATGAATTCAAGAACATACCCTTATTTTTGATGAATTCAAACATTACTTTTATGCTCTCCTTTTCTGTTTGGCTGATTTTGGATTCTATTTCAGGGCTTCACAAATGGCTACTAAGCCGGAAAACAATTTGATTCCCAATCCTACACTTTCCTCTCAATCTTCGGGTCAAGTTCATGCATCTGTTGACTCTGAAGTTGATCCAAACTCTTACTTGCTTGAGAAATTCAAACTTTATGAAACTCGAGCGGTACTGAAATTGTCACATCTGATTATTTTAATTCACTTAAGCCCTGATCTTTAGCTAATTCAGGTTTTTGAATTTGTTTCGTGCAGAGGTTTTATCTTATTGGGAGTGATCGTAACAAGAGATTCTTCCGAGTATTGAAGATTGATCGTTGCGAGCCATCAGAATTGAACATCAGTGAAGATCCAGTTGTTTATTCACCACAGGAGGTGAAGAACTTGTTGCAGAGGATTGCAGAGGGTAATCGGGCTACTGGAGGCTTGACTTTTGTTGCAAAGGTCTATGGTGTTGCTGGTTGTATAAAATTTATGGAGTCTTATTATTTGATTTTGGTCACCAAGCGCCGGCAAATTGGATGTATATGTGGGCATGCTGTTTATGCTATTGATGAAAGTCAGATGATTACAATTCCTCATGCGTCTGTTCAGACTGATGTTGCATATTCTAAGACAGAGTTGAGGTAAATTCAATGCCTTAGAGAGTTAGAATTCTCATGCTACATCTTTGAAATTTTGTTGGGTTTACAATTCTGTGACTGTTTGATTGCAGGTACAAGAAGCTTCTGTCAAGTGTTGACTTGACAAAGGATTTCTTTTACAGCTATACATACCCAATTATGCAAAGCTTGCAAAGAAATGTGCAGTTCAAGGATTCGGTTGGAATTCATTATGACAGCAGATTTGTGTGGAATTCATACTTGACTGAAGCTGTTCGTACAAGATGCAAAAATAATATTTGGACTGTTGCATTGGTTCATGGGCACTTTAAGCAAGTATGTAACTCTTACTTTCTTATGGGTCTCTACATTATTTTAGAAAAAGTCATTTGTGTGTCATTGGATGTTGGTATCTTATAATACACCAAGGCTAGTGATGAGTCGTGATTAAATTTTCAAGCTAAAAGGGTCTCTCTTAATGTGTCCTCAATGAAATTGCTTCTCGGTATATACGACTTGTTGACATTAGTAATTGCGATTATAGCATGGAATATACTCTTAGGAATGGTCTTAGACCATTAATTCTTTCATAAGGGCTTTTTGGAAATAATTTACATGTACTACAGTATTATAGGATGTGTGCCTGATATAGTAGCAAACACCTTGGAATATCTCAAGCACTAGCAGTTAGGCTGTGTTGGTTCAATAATATAGAAATAGACTGAAATTGAATTAGATATGAGGGGAAAAGCTGTCAATAACTATTGCTTCTATGGACGTTTGGTTCTGCTAATGGGGTAGAATTACTTATGGAGTACGAAGTACTTGTTTTAATTTTATTTACTCTGTTATTTATTTATATTTGGTTTTAATTGTTTTCTTTTCCATAAGCAATTTCTACTTTGAGATGATTATTATGCAAGATATATTGTCTCATTTTTTTCAAATATATTTGGATTGAAATCACATGTTGTTGTGTTTATAGGAAGATCTGGAAACTATCATTAATCTGTAAATAAATCAAATACTGTGACTGTAATTTTCTTTACAAATTTGATGGATTATCTAAATTAACTCCAAAATGTGCTGAAACTTTATCAATACAAAATTTTACCCAAAAGTCACCAATCTTGAGAGCACAGCAAACATCTGTATAACCAGAAAAAATTATTGAATGAGAAGAAAATTGAAATTCAATCCCAAAAGTGTGAATGTAAGGTCAGAGGGATCAACAAAGCTTCATATTGGAAATATTGTTCTAGTACGTGCAGTTTTTGGGGTCAAACTTCAAATTAAAGAACAATAAATCTTTAATACAAATTAGTTTTTTACAATTGAGGTTGTGCTTCATATAGAACTTTTTTCATTTTTATTATCTCTCATGGGAGCTTGTTAAAAGTGAACCCGGAAATTTTCCATTCGTTTGAAGAGTTTTTTACATCTGAGATCAAGGTACAAATTGATTGACTTTATTGATTTATTTGAGTGAGAGATTGAAGAGGAAAGGAAAGGGGAAGGAAGAGGGAGATTGCAATTGAAGAGCCATGATACTTGGAATAAAGAATGGAGGAGGGTAACCATGTATTAATGGCTTACAAAAGGGTTGGAATGGGTTTAGTATGGGTACAATCGTACAAAAGGTTACTCCCAAGGAACGTTAACTGTTACTTCATCCCATAAACCAAACGATATATGGTGGGATTGCTTTATTGAATCCAATTACCGCCCTTCAAAAGCTCATACAGTCATACTAAACGTGCCCTTAGTTATTCAGTAGTCTAGGAAATGACATTATTACTGGTGAGGGAATTATGGTATATTTTGTTCTTATGCAAGGTTTGGCTTCATGTCAATTTATTTTTTGGCAAAGAGACTTATTATTAACAAAGAGGCTTAAGATCTATTGCGTATTTAAAGTAGTGGTTTTCATTTGAATAAGGAAATTGGTTTTGGTTGCTTCTATTTTTCTCCCTCTTTAGTGTAAATGCTGTTATGAATATGCTCTATCTTGCAGAACTATATTTATAGTAGTCATTTGTTGAATGTGGTAATTTAGTTGAGTGGTTGTTGGATTTCTGATAGTTTAGTTATCATCTCTATTGCCTACCTGCAAGATAACATCTCGTCATGTTATATACACCTGATCTTTATAAAAAACTTTCTTGGCAGATGAGGCTGTCAATTTTTGGACGTGATTTCAGTATTGCTTTGGTGTCTAGACGGTCTCGTCATTTTGCAGGGACTAGGTATACTTTAATTGCATTTTGCTTAACTTTATGATGTTATACACTACCTGATTCTTTTCTTTCTCCAATTATAATCAGTTTGAA